AAGGGAGATTTTGTGTTACACCTGTTCCATGAGAAGGCAGTTTAAGGTCTGTCTCTCCTCACATGTCATTCCCTTTCACAATCTATGAATTTCTGTCCCCTCAGATATAACAATGCAAACTTTACAGAACTATGCTATAAACTAGAAAATGGAGCAATTTGAGTTATACTGTAAGATAAGTTTCTTGCTTAAAAAGAAACAAAGAACCTATACAGATTAGTTCAAAAAAATAGATTTACAGCACAGCCTAACAGTTGTGGCAACATAGGAGTAATGAACTCCAACAGTTGCTTCCTTAAAATCCAGTTTTAAAATGGATTGATGCTGTGACATAGAAGAAAATATCACTGGAAAAGGAGAATAATGAAAAGCCAGGGAAGAGAATACCAGCACTCAACTCCATTTTTCTTTCTCAGTAAAAATAAGGATTTGAAAGAAAAGCAATTATTTTAACAACTCAGAACTTCTGCACCATTTGTTAAAAAGATCCCTACATTTAAGTAGAAAAGATAATTTCCAAAATAGAACACATACAAAAAAACCCCCACAAACTCAAACTAGAGTTACCTCTATTAAAAGTAAGATGGAATTTAAGCTTTGTTGCACAGCAGATACATGACAAAAGAGATGCATCCAGACAGAAGCACCTTTCTTGTGAAAGCACCCATCTCATGATAAATACAGGCCAAGAGAGGACACTGGGCTGAAACAACATGAAGGTACTGACAGGTAACAGCAATACCAAACAGGAGACAGAAATCCCACCTCAGTATTTCTTCCTTCCTTTACAGGTTTTCATTTCATATAGGATAGCAAACTTTGGCTAAACAACAATTCAAAGAAATATTAGGAAGATTTGTTCATGATAACGAACAATAGATAACAAGACTGCTTTAAGACAACTGCTAAGATGTAGCTGACATTGCACAAGCTTTTCTCTACAAGCTCAAGGTTCAAGATGGTGATAGTAAAGAGACAGCAAGCACAAAAAAATGACACCTTAGTGATCCTAAATAAGTACAGAATTACACAAACCCCTAAAGAAAAAAGATGACAACGCCTTAGTAAAAGGAGGAAGAAACAACACATAACACTGAAAAGAAACAAGAAGTAAAGAAGAATTCTAGTTGGGATGATAAAGAAGTAGCAGGGATCATAGAAAATACTACACCAGGGGAAGTGAAAGAACTTTGTGCAACCATGGAATACCAAAATGAAAATAAGAAAAACTGGAAAATAAGTACTCCAGTTCTAATCACCTCAACAGGCTAAACAGCAGTGGAGCAACAGAAAGAATTAGCTCATCTGGAAGAAAATCTGGTATGGTCGTAATAAGTTTAATTTAACATGACTCTTAACAGATAAAGCTGATAAATTTGGTAAAATAAGAAGTTAACAAAAGCAGGGGGAAGATTGGAAGTATAACCACAGACGAGTAGTGGCAAATAAACAATAATCAGAGAGTAGAAGGCAATGAATAATTGCAAAACAACAGCACTATCCTTCTACGGACCACTCACTTAGCAACTGGATTGTGGGTTCCTTCCAGCTCAGAAAATTCTGTGGCACTACACACAACCCAGGGAGAACAAGACATCATATGGTATAGGATTACATATGCTATTGAAAGCAACAGAGACCAAGGAGGGTAAGAAAGACATGGAATCCTTGCACCCTGGGCACAAAAAGCCTGTAGAGAGACAACTGGAGACAATTTCAGCACAACACAGAATCTGGACTGGAATTTACTTAATATGAAGAGGAAAGAATGTGTGGCAACAACCATATATTTCTCTGTTCAGGAATTTGGAAAATAAGGTAAACAGACTAGAGTGCTGTTATTTTCAAGGATGGAGAATAGCAGCTCAGAATAAAATCAGGAAGGGAATTAGACAGCAGCAGGATGTAAAAACCTGTGAAATTAAAACAGAAAAACTGAATGAATAGGGCTTTGTGTAGTTAAAAAGGCAGAAAAAGCAGAAAACAAACATGAGAATACATCTCTGTAAGCAGCAATCAATAGTGCTAAATAAAGGTAAACATGTCAATTCTAATCAGTTTTTCTCTGGAAACCTTTAGATTCTGCTGGGCAAGAGGCATAGGAAAAGGCCTAAGACAGAGGCCTTCAGACAGCCTGCAAAGCAAAGTAACTGGAAAACATACCAAGGGGGAAAAATGGATAATTGAGTATGAAATAAAAGCAATGAATAAAACTACAAAGAAATCTATCAGAAATTATCAAAGAAATTATCAGAAATGAGAGGAGAAGGTGGCAGTCATGACAAAAGGACTTGGAGATGCAGTAATCAGATAAGATGGTTGTTAGCATCAAAACAGAAGTAATCATTTCTGTCAGAAACAGAAACAGGGATTAGCAGATGAAGATCAAATACGCTAGAGCACTGAAAAATAAACTTAATGAGAAATCTACTTGAAAAACAAAGGCGTAAGGAATGAGGGTGTTCACAATAAGAGGAGCAATTATGTCAAAGACCAATATGAAACTACAAATGGAGAAGCAAAAGGTGGGTGAGAAAACGTGAAGGAATGTCTGATGGACCCCTGACCAGGAAAACTGTAAGAGGAGGAAGTGCAAAGACCATAGTAGATGAGGAACACAACAATTTTTTCATTATAAAAGGGATGATAGGACATGGTTAGGAAATTAAATAAACTGCCATTGTTTATACTTCAGTCATATGTGTATGGGGTGCAAAGCTCAATTGTTGTACTGTATCTTGCCATACATAAGGAAGGCAAATGTAAAGTTTAGTAGAATACTATTAACATCATACAACCTCTCAGCAGAACACAAATTTCGCTAAAACCCAAAATCAGTCACCTGAAATCCACGAACAGGCTAGATATGCAAACCAGCATCCTCTAACATTACCCACAAATAAGCCTGCATTTTCCTTTAAGAAAAGATGAGTGAACTGTGACTCAAATTCATATAGAAGAGCTAGAAAGGGCCTAGAAAACACTCAATAAAAGCAAATTGGACAGGAATCACAGAAAATAAGGTTGAAAAAGACTTGCAAACATTTATTCAAAACATCACTTCATTCAGTGCTTCAAGTCTGTATCAGCTTTCTTTATGCCTCTCCTGACAGATGCTTATCTAACATATGGGGTTTCTTTAGCAAACCTCAAACAATACACAATTCACAATATCCTCTGGTACTCCACTGCAGTGACTGAACAATTTCAAAATCTGCCCCTAACATTTAGCATGTATCTCACTCTTAATTCAAATCATTTGTTCATGCACCATAAAGCTGATTGCCTTCCTCTTTGCAGCATATTTGCTATACAGAAAAGATGTTTCGTATTGCAACTGGACAGCTCTCCGCAGTGTTCTGCATTGGAAGGACAGAGCTCTTACATAAAAATAAAAGTCTGCCTGAACGGATGAGCTACAAAAACTCGTCTCTGTGATGAGTCATCTGGGACAGCAGAAACGGACTTTCCCACATAAGCAGTCTGCTGGAAGCTGGATTCAGCCACTGCAAGTGATACAGGCAAAGGAAACTAACATTTACAAGCGAGCAAACCACAGCCAGGGCATCAGCCGTGACTGTCTGTATTACAGCCTTCAGAAAAGAGCCACGCAAAAAAAACCAGCATAGTTTTGGCTGTGTTGTTCAAAGGCAAAGTTAAAATGGGTAGCAGAGCCACAAACTGGAGCATTGGGTGGAGCTCCCGACTGTGGAAGAGGAGTCAGTACGGGCAAAACAGAGCGAAGGGGGAGGGGGAAGAAAGAAAACCCGACCTCGGAAACAAGAGATGTGCACGGGACCAATCACACACAGGGAAATGGGTGTAGGGAGGCACCTGAACCCTTGGCCAGTGAGTGAGGAAGGAGGCTGGGATTAGAAGTCTCCCTTTCCAGGGGCAGTGGACTTGAGGGATGCCCTGGGCCTGATGACTTTTCTCCCAAGCTATAGCTTCTCTCTGTCGGGTTGGGTAGTAGGGACCTCAAAGAACATGATGCAGGGAAGGGCAGGGCACGCAGAGCTACCCAGGGAGATGTGCTGAGGTACGGCAGGGGGGAGCTGGGGTGGGGATCACAGGACAGTGGTGCAAGGCACTGCGAGGATGGCAGGTGAGAACCGTGAGGGCTGCAGCTGCAGCCATGGCAGGGAAGTGGAGCAGCCTAAGCCACAGACTGCAAAGCCAAACAAGGGCTGGGGAAGAAGGGGCAAGGTGAAAATGAGCCACAGGAGAAGCAGCACTCAGAACAGTAAGCAGAGGGTGGAAGTGCGTAGCATGGTAAGGAGCAAAGCTATGGTGGGGGTGAACACAGCCATGAGAGGGAAAAGCACAGCTACAGAGGGAGCAAAAGGGTGCACAGTTCGTGTGCATGAAGGCTTTGGGCGAGTGAATGTACGGGGATGGTACCCAAGCGCGAAACAGCAAGGCTACGGGAGGGGAAAGCAAGGTGTTCGCAGTCACGGGAGGGCACAGCTGTTGGTGGAGGAACTGTGGGTGAAGTGGGGAGGGAAAGCGACGGGTTTCCAGCAGTGGCAGAGTGTGGGTACAGACTGGGACGAAGGAGAGTGCGCAGCCACGGGAGAGCGGCGCTACAGGTGTAGGAGGGGGGTGC